GAATTGAATGTACTTATAATGATTTAATGAAGAAAACATTTTATTTTCATTTGCAGAAGTTTCTTTTTAGTCATCTACACATGAAGTCTGTGGGATTTTATGAGTTTTTCTTGCCAATTCACTAACATAAAAAATTGACCTGACTCTAAGTATAATTTAAACAAACTGCTTCATCTAACTTCTCTCATTTGTGAAACGAGGCAAGGACAATATGCCAAACTAATAGGAAAGGACTTCAAATTGGTTTTGGAGATCATTATTTTAAAAAATGGAGAAAATTAAATTACACATAATTCAAATACTTATAAATAATCAAGGATACAAAATCATTGTGGACCAACATCCTCTACCTTCCCAATTACTGGAATTATTTTCTAGTGTATCCCTTAAATCAATACATTCTACCTGATTTTAATAGATATTGTTAACTATTTCCTTTTCCACAAGAGAAAAAAATGTGGCCTATCTTTTTCCTAACTCTTCATAGTTCTATCTGTCCATTCTAAATCATAGGTAACACATTAATTAGAACTACTTCAAAATAGTTAAGTAATTCCATTAATAAAATCGGTATTCTAATTCTGATTCCCTAAGTTATCAAATAAAATACAGAGATGCAGCTATAAAAAAATTAGCTTTTTAAAACATCATCTTTGGCCGAAACCAGTTTGGCTTGGTGGATAGAGCGTCGGCCTGCGGACTGAAAGGTCCCGGGTTCGATTCCGGTCAAGGGCATGTACCTTGGTTGCGGGCACATCCCCGGTGGGAGATGTGCAGGAGGCAGCTGATCGATGTTTCTCTCTCATCGATGTTTCTAACTCTCTATCCCTCTCCCTTCCTCTCTGTAAAAAATCAATAAAATATATTAAAAAAAAAAAAAAGATCTCATTAAAAAAATAAATAAATAAATAAATAAAACATCATCTTTGGTTAACCTAAAGCAACTGTACACGTTTCTTTTTAATCCTAAAAGAAGGATATAGTTCATTTCAAAGTATAGAACAAAACGTAACTACTTATACACTAACAAAATAGTTGTCTATAAACATTCAGTCTATAAACATTTTCAAGACTTCTTCCTTGTTTCCTTAATGGTTCTCTCTTTCTGATCCTGAAATGCTGGCCCTTCCCATCCTAAGCTCAATATTCTTCCCACTCTCCAGATGCTTAATGAGCTCATCAACTCTTACGGTTTTAACTGCCATCTCTATATGACCCCTACATAGTTATGCCTAGCCCAGACCTCAACCCAGAGATTCTCACTCAGCTCCACCTTCTAGACATCCCCACCTGAATGGCCTACAGAACGTTCTGGACTTCTTTATCTG